CTTTTAATAAATTGTTTCACCAAACTGTTGGAGTGGTATTTTTTTCTCTTTTGTCCAAAAAATTAAAATAGGGAGTTGATTTAGGAAGTTCCTGGAGTTTCTCCTACAATATTCTTGCTCAATCGACGTCTCTCAATAGCCAATAATTTAGCATGGATACTACATACTTGGGCAAGTATATTATCAAGAGAACTACAGGACAAAGAGGTCGCACGGACACAACAGTATTTCTATTTGTTTTTGACTTTTACAATTGTACTCATATTATTTGGCTAACACCTCTTGAATTTTCTTTGTATTGTGCATCTTACTATTGCTGGTTAGAGGGAGCCACCACTTTTTGTTAAAACCCACTAGATCGCTAGGGCAAACATAAATCCAAAAAAATCCCACAATAATCATAAACATCTGGCTTTTAATTTGGTTGAATCAAACCATCATCAACAATAATAGTCATTAGATCTATTCTATTTTTTAAAACAAATTATTCATCTCTTCTATTTGGCCGTGTGCGGTCGCAGAGGGACGGACAGCCAATAAGTGTGTAGTGTCTTTCTGTGTGGTAGACTTAACCCGAGTTGAAGTCATCCATCAGTCGGTCAGTCGTCATGTATACACTCTAGATGGCTGCATGCGCAACGACAAGAACATGAGAAATAAATATGTACCTCATCATCCTTGGCATGCTCTTTATTTCTCATATCATCAACCATTGCTACATGAGCCATTGTGCTTGCTATGTTGACAGAGACAAACAATGGCTCATCGGCTCTGTCTCCGGCTCCAATTCCCTTTATTTCTCTGCGCATGAGATAGAACCATCAAATCAGTCAACTAGATCAAGATCAGGACACCAGCAACATAGATAGGTCAAGATAGAGATCAGGACACTAGCAACACAAACATATTGAGATCGAGATCAGGACACCATAGTGACACGGACACGAACCTCAAACAGTGGTCGATGGATCCATGTCTATCTCCAACTCAACTCTTCATCTAGCATGAATCGAGGGTGGGATGCAGCCGCCGACCTCCATCGAGGCGGGTAGGGTTGACGAGGACAGCATCGAGTGGGAAGTCAAAGAGTGTCATCTGGATGGAGCCCTTGAAGTCGTTGATGTGGCGATGAGGTAATTCACGTGAGGACAGTAGTGAGGAACACCCTAATGAAGAGGTCAAGGTACCCGACGCGGGGGTAGGAGGTTCTCGCACACAACCGCTGCTTCTGCCAGGCCCTCACGGGCCGAATCTAGAAATTACATTGCTGCTTCCTCAGAGAGAGAGAGAGAGAGAGAGGGGGGGGAGAGGAGAGGGGGTGGGAGGAACCAACGAAGCCTTGGTGCAAGTGGTTGCAGCAGCCACGACGGCTTCCAGAAGGGATGTGTGGGCCGGGTGCGCTGTTGAGAGTGTAGTGTCACCTGGGATAGATGGGGCAGCGTGGAGTTCCACCGTGGAGAGAGAGCGGGCATGTGGAGCAAAGGGAATGATATTTTAGAGGTGGCCTTCTTAAGAGGTTCGCCTCCGAAAATAGAGCTTAGTTTTAGAGGCAGACATCATAGGAGGCCCGCCTCTTTATATAAGTTTTCTAAGATGGACCTTTTTCTTGCATTGCCTCCATAAATGGATTGACTGCCTCCAAAGCACTTAGTATTTTTGGAGACAGAGATAATTTCTGACCACCAATAGATTGTATCCTAAAATCAAATTTGTAGTAGTGTATAACCCTGAAGCTGTGGGATTATGTGGACACGACAGTGGTAGTTGTAGATGGACAAACATGTAAGCTGTGGTAGATGAAACATAGGAAACTGTGGGGTATATCGAAAACCAGGCATTTATAATTTGCTTCCACTGTCTGGTCAAGTTACAACCCGACGTTGGCATATTACTGCCATTCTATGGCCTGACCCTGCACGGATATTCCCCATATCGCTTCAAGTTCGTGGTTCTAGAAGATAGGCTGTAGCCGGTAGTGATAAATTACTGTCGGATCGAGGCTGGGGCTAGCAGTGATAGGGTGTTCATTGCCTGTTAGGATCCCTACCATTGTTTGTATCTTAGGCTGCTTATGACCCAGAAGTAAAGCAGGATCACTGCCGGCTCTAGCACACCCGACAGTAATGGGCTGGCAGGGATTATTGTGTTTGCGGCAGTGACCCTTTCTGTATGTATGCAGTACTCATTCGAGGATGCAACAAACTCCAAGATAGGTCTAGTTCATAAGTCAAAATAAAATGTTATGTGAATTAAGTTGAATTACATACACAACAGATTGGCGGATATATTATCAAACTTTTCCCACTTCACAGTGCATAAAACCATACAAGCTGGGCACGTAGTTATATATACAGTGATTGATACTAGACGTGATGATGAATACCATACAGTAGCTAGCTGGTGCTTAACATACCATGTTGCATTGCCTTTATAGCTGTAACTTACCTCAAAACTTGAGCCGCCAAAGTCTGTGAAGTTCCTTTGGTGCTTGCATGCATCTACTACCTCTGCTGCTTCCTTCAATTCATCCACAACCTCTGCCACTGTGGGTCTTTCATCCACATCTTCCTGGAGACATTGTACTGCGAGAGAACCAATTTTGTCAAGGCACGCCATACAATGTTTACATTAAACATAGTCGTGAGATAAAATGTCTCCGTCATACATCTCCCTTCCATTGCCCTTCACCTTACAGGTCTTGACAAATTCTATTGGGAGGCCATTGATTCTATTTCGGCCATACTTGACTGTCTTCCGGGTGATGACCTCAAGGAGCACCATGCCAAAGCTGTAAACATCACTCTTGGCTACAAAACGTTCTATTTTCATGTAAAGTCGGTCCACATAGCTCATATCTGCTGTGTCATACCCAAATTTAAAGGCAAATCTAGATATAAATTATATGTGTGCCTAGGAATCAATTACACACATATAGAGACAAATTAAAGGAGAATACCAAGCACTGTGCTTTATTACATCACGAGTATTTAATCCATTACATAAATATATCAAAGTCTAGCAAACAGAAATAAATAAAGATAACTCCATGGTGCCTCCATAGCCACAGGGACGGTCGACTGGTTGATCGCAAGACTAGTAATCCTCAGGAAAATCCTCATAACCATTGCCATCTGTTACCCATTCGGGATTTTTATCCAAGTAATGAAAAATAAACAAGCGTAAGTACATCTCGTACTCAACTAGAATGACACAGGGTTCATGAGGCTTAAAGGTAGATACGGGTTTAACTGCATTTAACTTTTATTGAGTCACAATTTTAAGCAATTGAGTAGCAACAAATTTAACATAAACCCAATTAAACACATGATCAGGTAAACATGAATAATGAATAGCTTAAACAAATAATCCATTAGTGATCATCTATTCCATAAGGGTCCAAGGCCGCTCGTGACCGTGAGCACGGCTGATATACCAGTTTTACACTCTGCAGAGGTTGTACACTTTCACCGTGAGTCGTGATTCCCATTTGCCGGGGTCATGACACCCATAACACTTCCAAGGTGAGCGGACATGGTACACTATGAAGTCTTTCAAAAGTTCGTCTAACAAGTTAGGGCCGCAAGGTTTCAGTAGAAGGCAAGTATAGAGCCCCCCTTTAAAGTGGCACACTCACGCTGAAGTACTCAAAAGAACAGAGGTCGCAGTATACCCAACATGTCAGACCCCTTTTTCACCATAAAGGTAACCACTAACAAGCTAGAAAAGGTCTTCATACTTGACTAAAGCCAGAGCCATATAGCTCTGACGGTTGTACTATAAGTCCCGGATGATCTCTTACAAATAAGTCCTTAAGGAGAGGAATCTAGAGCATCACAAAAACTATGCTCTAGCCCCCTTGTTCCTTGTTGCTAAAAGCATCTTTTAGTGTTTATTGCATATTCTATTAGTCAAGTTACAAGATCATGGTTGTTGTTTGAACACTAGCATCATACTACCCAATGCATAAACCCATAGGTGACAAGGAATCAAGATATCAATTGCTAGGGAAATTCCTACAGTTATCGAGGTAGACTCATGCATATGATTAAAGTGATAAATAGTGAATAGAACAACAAGGATGATCCCATGCTATCCTTGCCTTGCTCAAAGTACTCCTTCTGGTCTTGTTGGTCATCAAAATATTAACCTTGCTCAACGTCGTACTGCTCACCGTCTATACTCGATTATCAACACAGCAACACACAAGCATCCACAAGCAATCATACACGACACAAACAAGAGACATTAACTAGAACAGTACACCAATAGAAGAAAATCATGTTGAAAATTTTATAAAGAGTAAAATGCACCACAGGTACTCAAACTATTGTGTGGTTCCCAAATAGGTACTCGAACTGAAAAACCTACCAACTAGGTACTGGATCTATATTTTTTGTCACCAACAGCACAAGATTAGGCCACGCAGGCAACAACAGCTTAGGTGGACAAGCCACGTATGAGGCACCAAAGATCATAATCGTCATGGGATTTTTGTCGACCCCCCCGCCGAATGTGGCGGTCACTTCTTGGTCCCTAGGTGCAAGACGGCCAAACCCCTCCGTCCCCTGAAGTCTCCGTGCGGTCTTCTCTCTCTCTCGTATTCTCTCGATACACCATCTCGCCTTGAAAAATCGCCGCCGCTCCTCCCTCAGATCTTGTGCCGCCCCTCCATTCCATTCGCCCCCCTCCCCCTCAATCTCATCGTCACCCGCCTCCCTTTAGTCTCGCCGCTGCCCGCCTCCCCATCTCGCCGCGTGCTCGTGAGGGGTGTGCTCGGCGGGGGTCAGATGGGGGTGAGAGCGGCCTCGTGAGGGGCACGGTCGCCACGCTCCTCGAGCGGGTGCCGCGAGCAGGCCGAGGCCAAGGACGTCGTCGCCATCACAAGAATCAGGTGTGTCCATGTGCCTCCCTCCATGGACAACAAGATTCTGGTAGTAATAAGGAAAATAAAGAGGTTTGGTTGAAGCCGTGGGAGGTGTGGCACGGCGCGGCGCGGCACCATGGCCGGTCGCCGGCGATTGGAAGGGGAACCAGCACCTGTTTATGGTAAGTGCCGCAAACTTGGTGTGGTAGTACATGGATTTGATGCATAGATTGGGTTGTCAGGGCAAAGCACTGAACTTTAGGTTTATCTGAATGTTTAGGGCCTGATGATGACGAGTTCTCTATGGAAATACATCATGGGGGATTTTTTTGTGGGTCTGGTAAAGATCAGATTTATCTTGATGGCAAGGTTGATTGGTTTGACCATATCAAAGAGAAGTATTGGCGTTTTTTCGCAGTTGATGAGATTAGTGTGATGTTAGGTTATGGACTTGACAATGTGGAGGTGTACTGGCTGTTGCCTAAGATGGTTGTGCCTACTGGTTTGAGAATTGTAGACTCAGATGCAGATACACAAATCATGAACCAATTTGCATATAAGATCAAAAACTTTGTGATGTACTTTGATATCTATAATTCATTTGACAAAGACATTGTGTTGAATCCAATTGGTACACTACCCAAAATGTTAAGTCCTAGGAAGGTGCCACCTAAAAGAGATGATGCGGGCAACAACAACAACAGTGACAATGATGGCAGTATAGATGGGTACTTCTTAGACAGTGACTATGAAGTTGATGATGATGATGATGACCTATTCTATGACAATGTTGATGATGGGGTGGTTGATGAGGGTGCAGCCAAGGGCATTGTAGTCAGCAAAGGGAAGAAGAGAAATGCTCCATATGGCAAAGAGAAGATGGCAATGGTTAGGAAATGGGATGAACTATCATCTGATGAGGATGAGTTGGAGTTACCAGCTGAGGAAGAGGGCCAGGTTGGGATGAATTTGAAGACCTTCAGGCTAGAGGACCTGCAGAACCCTATTTTCAAAATTGGAATGAAGTTTGCATCAGCACAACTGCTAAGAAAGGCTATTACAGAATACAGTATCAAACATAGGGTGGAGATAAAGATGCCATGGAATGACAAGACTAGAATCAAAGCTCATTGTGATGTTGGTTGTCCATGGTACTTGTATGCTTCATTTGATTCTAGGATGGAATGTTTCTTGATCAAATCTTATGTTGGTGATCACCATTGTCAGAAGAAATGGGTGCTTAAGAGGTGCACTACAAAATGGCTAGCTAACAAGTACTTGGACAAGTTTAGGGCTGATGAGAAGATGAGCCTGACCAATTTTAGAAGGACAGTTCAGTTGGAGTTGAACTTGACCCCCTCTAGGATGAAGCTGAGTAGGGCAAGAAGGATGGCATGGAACATCATTTATGGAGATGAAGTGCAGCAATTCAATCTTCTTTAGAACTATGGTCATGAACTCAGGAAGTCAAATCCAGGTAGTAGCTTCTTTCTGAACTTGCTTGATGGCTACTTTAGTTCACTTTATGTGTCTTTCGATGCTTGTAAGAGGGGTTTCCTCAGTGGATGCAGGCCAGTGATATGTCTAGATGGCTGCCACATCAAGACTAAATTTGGGGGACAGCTACTCACTGCTGTAGGCATAGACCCAAATGATTGTATCTTTCCTGTAGCCATGGCAGTGGTAGAGGTAGAGTGTCTAGCATCATGGAAGTGGTTCCTAGAGACACTAAAACAGGATCTTGGCATAGACAACACCACTCCTTGGACCATAATGATAGATAAACAAAAAGGACTAATCCCTGCTGTCCAGCAAGTTTTCCCTGACTCTGAGCATAGGTTCTGTGTTAGGCATCTATACTCAAACTTCCAAGGCCACTTCAAAGGGGGAAAACTTGAAGAATGAACTGTGGGCATGTGCTAGAGCAAGTACAGTAACAAGGTGGAACCACGAAATGGAGAAAATGAAAGTGCTCAACAAGGATGCCTATGCATGGTTAGAGAAGATGCCACCAAACACTTGGGTTAGAGCCTTTTTCAGTGAGTACCCGAAATGTGATATCCTGTTAAACAACACTTGTGAAGTTTTCAACAATTACATCTTGGAAGCTAGAGAACTACCTATCTTGACCATGATATAGAAGATCAAGTCCCAACTAATGGTCAGGCATTACAATAAACAGAAAGAAGTGACTGAGAAATGGGTAGGAATGGCCATATGCCCAAAGATCAGGAAAAAGTTAGCTAGGCATGCCGATTTCTCCAACACATGCTATCCTATACCAAGTGGGAATGGTATCTTTGAAGTTCATGACCGAGAGTGGCAGTATGTGGTTGATCTTATGGGCAAAAATTGTGAATGTAGAAGGTGGCAGTTGACAGGCATACCATGCAGCCATGCCATTTCTTGCCTGAAGCATGAAAGAATCCTAGAAGATTCAGTGCTCCCAAATTGTTACTCCATTGATGCATTCAAAAATGCATATGGCTGCAACATATATCCATGTTCTGAAAAATCTTCCTGGGAGAATGTTGGAGGTCCAGAAGTGCAGCCACCTAAGTATGAGTAGAGGGTAGGCAGACCACCTAAGGCAAGAAAAAGGGCAGCACATGAAGTTCAAGGTCCTAATGGACCAAGGCTGTCCAAACATGGAGTAATCATGCACTGTAGCCATTGTGGACAAACTGGTCATAACTCAGCTAGGTGTGAAGCAAAGAAGGCAGGCCTACCAGCTATTAAGAAAACAAAAAAACCAACTAGAACTGCTACTACAACTACAACTGAGCCAGAGCAACAACCAAGTTATGAGGTGAGTCATTCCCAGGTATGTGCACAGCCACAACCATACATTTTACATGTGCAAATGTAACTATCTAACTTTATTATTGGTTTAGGAGGTGACTAACCTAGTTGAGGTACTAGTAATGTCCCAAGTAGAGAACCCCATGCTGTCACAACTACTAGATGAGGTACCAGTAATGTTCATTTCAATTTCAGTCACAACCATTTATTACTGGCATATCACAAAACTGATGTAACCTATTGTATTCAGGCTTCACAGAACATGAGGCACATTCCATCTACTTCACCATTGCCAGACTCTACCTACATCATTTCGAACCTCCCACCAACAATGCATACTCCACTTAGAACAGCAACAAAGACTGGAAGGACCTCAAGGACCAAGATAGTGAAGAACAATGGTGCTGCCCCTAGTAAGAAGACAGGTAAGACCAAGAGAGGTCAATCTTGACAGTAGGATAGCCTAGACAACACTTTAAGTAGTCTTTTGTGCAGGAAATATAGTTGCCTTTTGTCCAGCAACTATACGTTGCCTTTTGTCTAGCAACTATAGTTGCCTTTTGTGTAGTGATCTCATATAGGTATAGATCATTTGCAGCAACTTGCTGTTTTCTTAGCATATGTAATGGAAGCAACAAAACAATTCCTAGTTTGCTGATGACATCTTGGCTGTAATGACCACAACTATGGAAATAAATGGTTTCTCAGTCAATATATATCACTGTGAATGGATGGATGGTTCGGATGGTGTGTTCTCTTAGCATATAAATGGGACCTGTGAATGTGAATGGATGGTTAGGCTGGGTGGTTTTCTTAGCATATGTAATGAACTGTGAATGTGAATGGATGGTTTGGCTGGGGGGGTTTAGCAAAATGGGCATCCAGGGTGGCTTGGACATGAGCTGATGTTGCCTACGTGGCCAAATTAGTACTGCTGGTGACCAAAAAATATAGATCCAGTACCTAGTAGGTAGGTTTTTCAGTTCGAGTACCTATTTGGGAACCACACAATAGTTTGAGTACCTATGGTGCATTTTACTCTTTTATAAAACTAATCTACGCATCGCTACGAATACACAGACGTGAAGATCACTGAAAACGAAGCTAAAATAGACAAGTTATGCTAATTATAAGCTACCGATGGCAATCCTGTAATTACTGCGAACTTATTTTCGAATTAAAAGAAATAAAATTCAGATTTATAACTGCGCAGGGACTGGGGGCACAAATATATGAAAATACGGGGTCTCTTTAACAAAATAGCCGCGAAGGGGTATTTTCTAATCTGAGCTGTTGATCTCGATCTGGGCGGCTGAGAATCACTGAGAAGATGAAAGAGAGAGGGGTTGCTGGACGGAACAGTAGACAGCACGGTGGCCAGCCATTGCCGGCGGCGAGCTTCTCGCCGGCGAGCGCGGGGAAGGGCCTACAGGTCACTGTTTTGCACCGAAAAGGCACGGGGAGGACTAGGGAATGATGTCGAGCTCACCTAGGACTTCAAACCGATCGAAGACGTGGCGGAGATGGCGAGCGGCTCGACGGGCGGAGAGTGGCGTGCTGCAAAGGTTCGGCGACGAACTGTGAGCAACAGTAAGCAAGAACGAAAAGGAGGAACGGTTTGGCCGCTTCGTAACCTTGATTCGGATCTCGGCACAGGGCTGAGGGCGGCGACGGAGCTGCGGACGAGTGGATAGCCGAGCGGCAGCAGCTGCGAGGATTCGCGGCGGCGACGCGAGAGCTCCGGGGTGCTGCGGCTGTTGCGAAGGGGTCGGGAAAGGGAAACGGAGTGCGGATCATCGCTTTTATATCCGGAGATGCTCCAGAGATGGAAAGGATGGAGATCGACAAGGATTCGGGCGCCCTCAACAAAGGTAAGCTGCGGCTTCCTTTCCATCACGAGGAAGAAGACGGCTCAGTCACAGACATGCGGGGCCATCTCGTCAGCGTCACACGGGCGGAGCCCGTCTGTCAGCCAAACAAGGAGGATTAAGGGAGAGGGGAAGGAAACGCACGCTGTGCAACTTGGCCAGGATGGCCACGGCGCTGAGCCAAATGACGACGCCCTGGCCAACAGCCGAAACAGCAAGCCAGCAGGCCAAACAGAAAGAGAGAGAGAGCTGTGCCCTTTTCTTAATTTTTATTTTCTAAATCTCAAATTCAGTTAAAAACAGTTTTGAATCAATTTGATTTAGGAGCAAAAACCAGATCAGCATAGTAAATCAAAATGCACCAGCATGTATGCTTATGATGGATTTTAATTAAACAAAATTATTATTTGCCTATGCTTGAATGCACACACAATTGCATAATTAAATCAATTTCAACAATTTCAAAAGAATGAAATTATCAGGTATTACATGCTGCCACAGCACTGGCATACTTATCGATGGACAAAATCTTGGATGATCCAAAGTCGGAGACCTTGGGCATGAGGTTATCATCTAGAAGGATGTTGGCAGACTTGACATCACCGTGGATGTGGTTCTGATCACCATGTGAGTGGATATAGGCAAGAGCTTCTGCATAGCCGATTGCAATGTTGAGGCATGTAGGTAGCCGCAGTACCTTTTGCCTCGCAACATGGAGGAGGTTTTAGAGGCTTCCATTACCGATGTATTCAAAGACCAGCACAGGGATATTTGTCTCCAAGCAGCACCCAACAAGGCGGACCAGGTTGGGGTGGCTGTTCTGGAATTGGAAAGTGATCTCATTCACAATGTCCTCCCCGTCCTGCGAGTTATATGTGTCACGAAGTTCTCTTGTTGTCGTGAGTGGTTCCCTTGAAGACCACGCCGAAGGCACCTTTCCCAATTAGTGTGTCATAGTTATTTGTGATCTTGTCCAACTCTACTTCTGTGAATATGTTGATGCCAGCTGCACCCTTCAGTATTTTACCCCCATTTTTGTCAAAGAATGCAGTCCTAATTCTCTGCTTTTGATCCTTGTGAAGGGACCAGATAAGGAGCGCCGGAAAACAGATTGCAACAAATGTTGCTGCAAACACATGTTTCCATCAATAGGTATTAGGTTGTGACAGTATTGCCGATATTATGACATTATTAGTCAATTTGCAATCAATGCATATATAAATTCTTATTAAAATACACAAATCAACTTTCTTTTACATTTTTCCTACTATATATAACATGCTTTTCTTATTATCATATTTCATAAGTATACATACAACTACCCATGTCTAGTCCTCGATTGACGAAATTAAAATATAATTTCAGGTCATGAACTTTAATTCTGGAACATGTTAATAGATTTGATAGAATTCTTAAGAGTTTTAACACGATGTAGAAAAGTTCAAAGAGTGTAGAAAAGTTATCGATTTATTGGATTTTCAATTAGAAATAGTATAGGACCGAACAAGTGAAACGAGATATGACCAATGTGTGATTAAATATAGCTTCACATTTGGTTTGTATGGGCAAATTGATGGCCATGTTTTTGCCATGGCCTAGTTAGTTGGCAGGTACTAGGTTCGACACCAAAATTTCGCAGCACTAAAGCTGTAGTCCTCTATGAGATGTAAAACCTTTTAGTTGAAATCGCTTTCATTCGAATTCGTTTAAGGGATGAAATATTGAATACATGATCTGTAGAAGATAAAACCAAGGGACAAAATTTTACATTCT